ATCTGATTAAAATAAACACAGTTACTTTACCAGAGCAAAATCATAAAATCATTAAATGTGGATTATTGAACATTAGATCTCTTTCCTCTAAATCCCTGTTAGTTGATGAACTGATAACTGATCATCATATTGATTTATTCTGTCTGACAGAAACTTGACTACAACAGGAGGATTTTGTTAGTATAAATGAATCCACTCCTGTTAATTATTTAAATGTTCATGTTCCTAGAACAACTGGCCGAGGTGGAGGAGTAGCTTCTATTTTTCAGTCAGTATTACTGATTAATGCCAAACCAGTTGTTAGTTATGATTCTTTTGAATCGCTGTCCCTCAGTCTTTCTCATCCAAAATGGAAATCAGAAAAGCCACTTTTACTAGTTGTTATATATCGTCCACCAGGCGCTTACTCTCAGTTTTTGTCTGAATTCTCAGAATTATTAACTGACTTATTATTAAATACTGATAAAATCATCATAATGGGTGATTTCAATATTCATGTAGATGTTGAAAGTGATAGCTTAATCATAGCCTTTAATAATTTAATAGACTCATTTGGTTTTACCCAAAACGTCCGCACATCTACTCATTCTCAACATCACACTCTTGATTTAGTTCTGACCTATGGTATAGAGATTAAGGACTTTGTTATAGTTCCTCAAAATCCTATTCTGTCCGACCATTTTTTAATAACCTTTGAGTTTACATTAAATGACTACACAATCACTGAGAGTAACTTTCATCTCAGCAGGTGCTTATCAGAAAATGCTGTAACCAAATTTAAACAATCTCTTCCATCAATGTTTTCCTCTATCTTGCAGAGTAATGCATCAGAGAACAGTGACTTAGATCATCTAGTTGATCATCTTACAACTTCAATGCAAACTTCACTTGATAAAATTGCTCCACTGAAAAAGAAAGTAATCAATCAGAGGAAACTGGCTCCTTGGTTCAATTCTGAGATACATACTTTAAAGCAGGCATCTAGAAACCAGGAGAGAAAATGGTGCTTTACTAATGTTGAAGAATTTTATTTAACATGGAAAGATAGTCTGCTAACATATACAAAAGCTCTCCATAAAGTTAGAACTTTATATTACTCATCTTTAATAGAGGAGAATAAAAATAACCCTAGGTTTCTGTTTAGTACTATTGCTAGACTAATTAAAAGTCCCATTTCTTTTTTTCTTCTTCTTTTTTTCAAAAAATAAATAAAAATAAATAAAAAAAAGTCCCATTTCTGTTGAACCATGTATCCCTACAACTATAAGTAGTGAGGACTTCATGAGATTCTTTATAAATAAAATTATTTCAATTAGAGAGAAAATTCAAACCATCCGGGCAGCACGGTGGCGCAACTGGTAGAGCTGCTGCCTCGCAGCGAGCAGGTCCCTGGTTCAAACCCCGGTCCAGGGGCCTTCTGGGTGGAGTTTGCATGTTCTCTCCGTGCATGCGTGGGTTTTCTCCGGGTACTCCGGTTTCTTCCCACAGACCAAAAACATGCATGTTAGGCTGATTGGTAACTCTAAATTGTCCCTAGGTGTGAGTGAGAGAGTGAATGGTTGTTTGTCTCGTTTGTCTCTATGTGGCCCTGTGATGGACTTGCGACCTGTCCAGGGTGTACCCCGTCCCTCGCACAGTGATTGCTGGACATGGGCACCAGCGACCCCCGTGACCCAGAATGGAATAAGCGGGTAAAGATAATGGATGGATGGATGGATGGATTCAAACCATCCTTCCTTCTACTATCTCTAGTCCCCTGTCAAATGAGACAACTTAAAAAATTTCACTAGAGCCTGATTTATGTTTGGACAGTTTTTGTCCTGTTGAGCTCTCTGAATTGTCAAAAATAATAACGTCATCCAAACCATCCACATGTCTGCTAGATCCCATCCCAACCAGACTGTTTAAAGAGGTATCTCCCCTAATTAATGTCCACATTTTGGATCTACTTAATTTGTCTTTAATGGATGGTTATGTACCACAGCGCTTTAAGGTTGCTGTAATTAAACCTTTACTTAAGAAGTCTGACCTTGATTCAGAAATTCTGGCCAACTATAGATCTATATCTAATCTAACTTTTATCTAAAAAATTCTAGAGAAAATAGTTGCAGGTCAGTTTCTTGAACATCTACAAAGAAATAATCTGTTTGAAGAGTTTCAGTCAGGGTTTAGAGCTCATCATAGCACAGAAACAGCACTAGTAGAAGTCACTAATGATATTCTCATGGCCTCAGACAATGGACTTGTGTCTAAACTGGTCCTGTTAGACCTCAATGCTGCATCTGATACAGTTGATCACAATATTTTACTACAGAGGCTTGAATATGATATTGGGATTACAGGAACGGCTCTAAAATTGTTTAAATCATATCTATCTGATAGATTCCAGTTTGTAAATGTAAATAATAAATCTTCTTCATACACCAAAGTTAGTCATGGAGTTCCTCAGGGCTCAGTGCTTGGGCCAATATTCTTTACTTTATATACTATTTATATAAATTTCCATTGTTATGCTGATGACACACAATTATATTTGTCCATTAAACCCAATGAATCATATCAGCTACTTAGACTACAAGCATGTCTTAAAGACATTAAAAACCTGGATGACCCTTAATTTTCTCCTGTTGAACACAGACAAGACTGAGGTTTTGGTTTTTGGACTTGAGCACCTTAGGAATGAATTTTTTTGTCTTTCTCACTCCTTAGATGGCATTAATCTGTCCTCTAGCTCTAATGTTAAAAATCTTGGTGTTATTTTTGATCAGGACATGTCTTTTATCCCCCACATTAAAAACGTTACTAGAACTGTCTTCTTCCACCTGCGTAATATCACTAAAATTAGAAACATCTTATCTAAAAATGATGCAGAAAAACTGGTCCATGCATTTGTCACGTCTAGACTGGACTATTGCAATGGTTTATTATCTGGATGTCCAAATACTTCTTTAAAACGTCTTCAGTTGATACAAAATGCTGCTGCCAGAGTCTTAACTGGAGTTAGTAGGAGAGATCATATTTCTCCAGTTTTAGTTTCTCTCCACTGGCTCCCTGTCAAATCCCGAATCTAATTCAAAATCTTACTTCTAACCTATAAAGCTCTCAACAACCTAGCTCCATCTTATATTACAGATCTTATTGTTCCATATTTTCCTAACAGAGCACTTCGCTCTCAGACTGCAGGCTTACTTGTGGTTCCTAGAATTTACAAAAACAGAATGGGAGGCAGATCTTTCAGTTATCAGGCTCCTCTCTTGTGGAACCAACTTCCAATCTCTGTCCGTGAGGCTGACACATTATCCAGTTTTATAACTAGGCTTAAGACTTTCCTTTTTGCTAAATCCTATAGTTAGGGTTGGCTTGGGTTTCCTGAGCTGTCCCTTAGTTATGCTGCTATAGGCTTAGACTGCTGGAGGACAAACTGACCACAATTTTCACTCTACTTCTGTCTTTACTTACTCTGCTCAACCTGTTTTATATTTGTAATTATTTTTCTACCCTTAACATGTGTTTTTTTTGTCTTTCAGATACACCTGGACCTTTACCTGGACCTACCATTCTATGTTCGTCTGTCTCTCCTCCCTGTCCTCTCAACCAGCCGGTCAAAGCAGATGGCCGCTTGTCCTGAGCCTGGTTCTGCTGCAAGTTTCTTCCTTTTAAAAGGGAGTTTTTCCTTTCCACTGTTGCCACTGTGCTTGTTCAGGATGGGAGACTGCAACGAAGCCAAGATTCAACTTGTCTGCTGGATTCCTTAGATAGAGAACTTTACTAATTGACTTTTATGTATGTGAATGTTTCTGTAAAGTGCCCTGAGACAACTTTGTTGTGATTTGGCGCTATATAAATAAACTGAATTGAAATTGAATTGAATTGAATTGTGAAAAATGCTATGCTAAAGATATCCTGATGCTATGCTATATGCTAGGCTATGCTAAAGAGCTCAAACCACACCGAGCGTTATTTTGAGAATCGAAAAACAGGAAGGAGAGACAGCCTGTGTCAAGTCAAGGGGCCTCCCTCCCATTTTTCTTAAAGAGACACACTGCTCGCTCCCTCACTATCCATCCTTCAGTTCAAACAGCCTTATACTGCCATCCAGTGGTCAAAAAAGGTACTACACACAAAACAAATGACCAACAATTCTTCTTAAATTTGACAATAATTACTAATTAATGTCAAATTTCAAACAATATTATCGTTTATTTCAATAATTTCAGAAACAATTAATCGTCCAGCAAAATGTGTTATCATGACAGGCCTAACTGCTACAAGGACATTGATTACTGATTAGTTAAACTTTTAATTTTCCAGAGTGTTTTTCCTACACGTACAACTACAAACTCTGAAGCTTCTCTTTTGAAATGCTGGCAACCATTTATATTTCACATCTTTACTTAATCAAGATAAACTCATGACTCAGACAGTTGTTGTTTAATTGATATATGATTGATTATTCTTCAGCCTTTTTTTTAATAATTACATGTTTGTGAATGAAAAGCAGCTATTTAATTTCAGGAGATGTTTGTGTCCGTGTTATCTGCTGCTTTCAGCCTAATGTGCTATCCATCCTTGGTGTGTGTGTCCCTAAACTGCTCCCATTGAAAAATGATAACTAGCATATATTTTTCTAATGAGAAGGTGTCCTTGGAGCGTAAACAGGGTTATAAAGGATGTGTATGGGCTGCACTGTGGAGGATGCTGAAATGGATTGGGGCCAAGCTGGAGAAAAGAGGAAGCAGTTGCTTCCTTTGTGCTATATTTGGTCTGTCAGAAGATAGCTGGTGTGGGAGAGCAATGCATTGTTTTGTAGATCCTTACAGGCTCGCACACGAGTCTCATCATGAATGTGCACACACATACATATTTGCATGTACACCTGCAGCAGAGCAAAACAGATGACCTAACAGAAACAGCAGCCCCGTGTTTCCGCTCTGACAAATGTGAGTAAAGTACAAATGAATTCTCGTATCACTAATGTGGGTGCGACTCTCTCCTGACAGGGGTCAGCTGATTCGTATACCAGTAGACCGTCGGATTCAGACCTGTCAGCCGAGGAGGACCGCGAGGCGTATCGGCGTGAAGCCGAACGCCAAGCACAACAGCAGCTCGACAGAGCTAAGGTATGACGCACAGTGATTTACGCAGCTTCATACGCAAGAGTTTTACATGTGAAAGTATGAGTTAAGTCTTATGTTACTGCTCTAGATGTACTTTGATGCGCAGGATTACCTGTTGTAACATGCACTAGTTTTTTTTTACCTGGAAAGATGTCATCACCTGGCGGTTGGTAAGGTAATGACAAAAAGTGAGATATACCTATTTAAGCACCCACATAGGTGAAACATATGCAACATAAACGTACCCAAAGAAGCTAATTGTGATGTGTGAACACCTGGTTATTAGTGGTGTAGGAAGATGGTGTGTGTTTATGAAGAATGAGTGCTTTGTACAACCAACATCATAAATCATAAACAGGGCGGGGGTGGGGGGGTGGAGAAGACAGACAGCCAGCATAACCAACGAGCCACAAGCAGAACCAGGTATAACACCCTCCAGAAGAGGTCAGAAGTAATCTGGCCCAGGTGCTCCCAATTAGCACCTGAATGAAGCCTCTCCCATTAGAACTGAAACACAGTTTGTGCAAATGGAGGGGATGTCACAAGTCTCTGTCGACCATTTATGAAGTTTAGCTGCAAACCCAAGTCTTTATCACTGTGCTGTTTTTAATTAGTCTTTATCACTGTGCTGTTTTTAATTATTACTGAAGCAACTGTATTTTAGAAAAAATAATAGAGTAAAAACTGTCATCTGTTTCATGAGAAATATTTTACTTCTTAACTAACTAACTAACTGATTAATCTTCATGAATTGTTTGCATGTCAGTGAATTCAGAACTTCATACCGAGCTGAAGACAGTTTTATACATTTTTTAGCTCAGACTGAGATAAACCAGCCGTCATATTTCTTTTATTTGTCATGTTTACAGGGAAAAAACAAAAACACTCTCCAATAGCCACATATTTAAGAATATATTTATAAGAATTCCATTCAGCTTTAAGTAAATTATTGAAATGACAGATTAAATAAAATATTTATTTAAAAAAGGATTTTACTTTTTTTTTTGTCACACATCCTTTGGTCCACATTGTAGTGGTCAATCAATGGCTTAAATTAAAGTTAAAAGGCACATTAAAATCAACAAAATGGGGATGTTTTTAGGCCTTGTCTACACTACTGTGGATATTTTTGTCCCACTGCAGAGCAAAAAGAGGGAATTGGAAATACCTTCCATCCATGCATGTTGTGAGCACGATAAGTCGAAAAATAAATGAGGCACCGACTTCCATTTTGGTTTGTGGTTGCATCTAGGCATAAGAAAGTTTCCTCTCAATTAATGGGTTGCCATTGGCCACCCCCTGGTTCCACCATTGCACCTGGTTGTGGATAAAATTGCTCCCTCAACTCACCAGGATCCGTCACTCTGCGTTGCCTCGGACAAGAAAATGAAAACTACCTCAGTTCTTCTCCACAGTGTAACTCCTACCCACACCAAAACATTCATGTTTACTTGCCTTCCCTGTTCAAATCCAGTCCAGAAAAACACTCATCTCAAAAACTACAAACGTTCAGTATTCAAATCCTTCAGCGACGGGGAACATCAGCATACCACCTGTTAAAAGTGGACATTCTGTGCTGCATTTGAACCTCTTGTCCACATGCAAACAGGATATCCTCTGTAATGTGTTTTAAAACATCTGAACAGAATCACTAAGTCGTTCAGTAGAAGGCAACTAGATGACTTCTCTTGTTTCTTGAAAACTTTTCACCACTCATCCAAAAGGCTTCTTCAGTTTAACTGAGGGTTAAAAGTTTATCTTTATAGGAACAACTTTCAAGCCTGGATTGCCCATTATTGTGAGCTGAAAGGGTTAACAACTAAAAGGAAATTGCAAAAGGTGTCCAAAAATAGAGCTACAGTTGTTTTGGGTGAATGTTTAGCCAAGCTAAGAGAGATCCGACTCTGTATTTTGACACGTCGTTGATGTGGATGATCTCGCCACTTAGTGGCACAACAGAGCTGATTTGTTAGAACCATTTGGACCTAAACTTTTTGTAACGTTTAAATAATATCTGGAGTAGTGTAGACAGGGATGGACCCCAGGCAGTGTGTGTAACACTAATCAAAAGTCGCACCTCCATTATTTTCAGTTGTGACCAGTGGCAGCTGCAGACTGCAGACTGACACTCTGTGTGGTGGTGTTTCTCACAGCTGTTCAGTTTTGAAGCATTTCGGAAGAAAAAGATTAACATTTTTATGTACCGGTACTCACTCCCTGCTTGGACATCCAGGTTCCTCTCACAGCTCTTCTATACTTATCTTGACAGTTCTTCTTTTGTTTAGTTGGAGCGCTGCTTCATATCAGACGTTAGAAAATGGATGAGGAAAGATTCGAGGTTGTTTTGTCCACTGATATGTTGATTATGAGTCTGACTATTCTAAGAGAAAGAAATAATGTTAAGGTTATATTTTTAATTGATCTGTCAGTTCACTACAGCTTGATGTGTCCTCTGTGTTTTAGGCACTCCAAGTGAAGCTATCCCAATGACACAGTGTGCTGAGGCATTCCCAGTGTGTAACATTCAACTGGTTGTCCAATCGTCAGCTCTGTCACTGTGATCAGTTTAGATCCTTCATTATAAAAGCAGCATTAAGACTAATAAGTCTTGGAGGCTAAGACCTAATACACACTTTAACAATTTTAGCTGAACAGGATGTTACACTAACTTTGGTATAATGTTGTGTTGTCGCCCTTTTCAGGTGTCCTCCACTGGGATAGACCAGGATTCTATCCTGTTTCCTGTCTTCTGTGTATTTTTCATTACTGACATGTTTTGTCATTTGTTTTGTCATTGTTTTTGTTTCCACAGTCCAAATCTGTAGCATTTGCAGTAAAGACAAATGTGAGTTACTGTGGAGCTCTGGATGAGGACTGTCCTGTCCAAGGAGCTGCAGTCAATTTTGATGCCAAAGACTTCCTGCACATCAAAGAAGTGAGCCGTTACTTTCCGTTAACGACGATCAACGCTATTCATTACATTAAACGCACCAGACCGACGTGACACCGTTGTTGTTCTGCTGATTTTAACAGAAGTACAACAATGACTGGTGGATCGGGCGGTTAGTGAAAGAGGGAGCGGACATCGCCTTCATCCCCAGCCCTCTACGACTGGAAGCAATGAGACTCAAACAGGAGCAGAAACAGAGGTCAGACCATGAAACGTGTGGGCTTTAAAACTTCCTGCAGGATGCATTTTCACAACACCAGAGCGATAAGTCAATGTGTCGCTGCTGTTGCAGGAAAACAGGAGGCAATTCCTCGAGTTTGGGTGACATGGTGACCGGGAGCTGGAGGACCACACCGCCATCTGCAGGTGAATGTAAGTACTACAAACCAGCCTCTGGTGGAGCTTCTTCAGCCCTTTTTCCCTCTGACCTTTGTCTGATTGTCTTGTTTTTGCTTTCACAAGCTAAACAGAAGCAAAAACAGGTACGTTTCTTTGAAATAATAGAGGAAGGTTGGATTTTAAACATTTTTTAGAATGAGTTTTGTAGACGGTGAACAGCACTAAAGGACACTATTCACCAAATGATCAACTAAATTACTTTAAAATATGTTTTACAGCAATTAAACTCAAATATGCCTGGACTGTGTATGTTAAGAGTTGTTTAATGTAAAATAATAGGTTTATAACGTTACAGCTGACTATTAAAGGTAAATCCAGGGGACGTTTCCATTTCAGCAGCATATCTAATTAAATAGTTTTTACCTTAATTTATAACTTTTTCATATTTGTTTATATTTTGTTTAAGGTAACAGATTCACCAAATAATTATGAAATAAATATTTGTATTTAAAACTGGAAAATACTCTGAAATATGTGAGTCAATCATTCTTAGCCTACAGGTATAGTGAAAAAATACTTTTGTTTGTAATAACAAATAACTCCAAGCCTCGTGACATTTTACCCGTTCTCTCTATCCCTCATGGTTTCCCCTCTGTCCTTACCTATGTGTGGCAGGAACATGTCCCTCCCTATGACGTGGTGCCCTCTATGAGGCCGGTTGTCCTCGTGGGACCATCACTGAAGGGCTATGAGGTCAGCATCTCCTCACTTCACCTCTAAGCACCACTTTTTATATTAAAACTGTTCTGAAACTTGATTATTGTTCATGTTCTTTCATACCTGCATGTAGAAACCAAGTCACTAAAACTTGTCAGCTTTTAATAATTTGTCGTAACTCAGATATTAGAACTAAAAGAGCATTTCAAACCCCAAGACCCAAAGAAAATAAAGGACAACCACAAGGATAAGGCTTCATGTTGTTGGTTGCTGTGGTAACACGGAAAAATGGCGAGCAGGTTAAAGGTGGCACAAGTTGTAAATGGTAAAAGTTAGGCAAAAAAACTTTAATATCTCTTATTATTTAGATTATGCATTTTCAGATTATCTTTATAGTTTAGTCAGGCGACTAAGACAATACTTTCTTCTGAGAACAGTTTTGCACATATGTTCAGCAATCATAAAACTGATGTAAACGTCTGATCCGTACCATAAGGCTCTTTCACAAAACACTTCAAGTTGGGACTTAAATGCCTACTGGCCACCTCAGTATGATTTCTGCATGGACCGAGGTGGTGAGGGGCTTGAAGCCATTCCACCCTTGTTGCACCTTTAAAGTGAGGTAGTAACAGAGGCGAAACAGTTGACACATGAAAAGGTAAGACGGCTTGAAGTGATGACATTTGGTCTGTGGGACCAGCTGCTCAGGAATTAACCAACAAACAGATTTATTACCTAGGCAAGACAGATGGTGACACACAGCAACTTTGTATTTAATGTTAAACAGTAGTTACCCACAAAGTTGATCGCTAAACTGAGTTAATTTGTTTGTGTTGAATATCTGTCACACAATAAATTTGTCGGGCTTCACGTCAACACAGCTGAGTTCTGCTCCACGCCTCTTGGTTCTTTTCGCTTCATTGCTGAGAACTCACATCCAAGCGGGACGTGGCCCGCTCCAGCTGATTTTTGAACAACCAAAGGCTGCGTAAAGACAGACTGGTCTTTGTGGCCATTTTTCAGAACTGTTTTGTGAAAGTGCCATTTCACTTCTTTTGTGCAAATTTTCTCTTCTAAAGTTTACGTTACATGGCTCAAACTTTTTAGAGGTCTTGTCTAATCTTTAAGCTTTATTTTTAACTCAGCGAGTTTTACACGTCTAAGTTCAGGCAGATTATTCCACTCTGAGGTGGTCCCCTAAGGCTTTGTTGCACTGAATGGAAAGCTTATCAATCATCACATCACGTTCTAGGAAGGGTGGAAGTAAAATTTTCTCCTGTGGGTCCATACTGTACCTTGTTCAAACTGTGTTTTAACAGTTTTTGTGTGATTTTAATGTATATTTGAATAGTTTGATATTTCCGTTTAGGTGACAGACATGATGCAGAAAGCTCTTTTTGACTTTTTGAAACACAGATTTGAGGGAAGGTAAGTTATTAAATTTTAAACCCTGAAACAGGCCTTTAATCAAAGTCAGACATACGTCTGTTTATTTTTTCTTCTGTCTTTATACACAGAATCTCAATCACGCGAGTAACTGCCGACCTGTCCCTAGCCAAGAGATCCGTCCTCAACAAAAGACCCATAATGGAGAGATCCAACACCCGCTCCAGCCTTGGTAAGTTCTCTCAGCGTGAAAACACCACAGCTCTTTGCTCCAAACAAGAAATCGGCCTTTATGTTTTTATGTGCAGCCGAGGTTCAGAGTGAGATTGAGAGGATATTTGAGCTTGCCAAAACCCTGCAGCTAGTGGTTCTGGACGCAGACACCATCAACCATCCCGCACAGCTCGCCAAAACCTCCCTCGCTCCTATCGTCGTCTACGTTAAAGTGTCCTCACCAAAGGTACATGCTGCTAACAAACGTTGACTTCCGGCAGCCCCGTCCTCTCTGCCATCATTTCTGACACAGTGTTTCTTTTTAGGTGCTGCAGAGGCTGGTCAAATCCAGGGGAAAGTCTCAGAGCAAGCACCTGAATGTGCAGATGATGGCTGCAGACAAACTCTCTCAGTGCCCCCCTGTGAGTGCTTCACTGCGCGGTCCCTCCTTATCACTGTGTTTTGATGGGATTGTTTTATACAGTAAGGGATGGTGTGTTTAGTGTTGATCCCGCCTGAACTGTGCTGCTGCTTAAATAATCATAGAAAAACATGTTTTAACTCCTGTTTAAATCACAGCTACTTCAACTGATGAGGCTTTCAAAGTTATTAATCCCTGCAGTCTGACAAATGTTTAGGTGAAAATGTCTTTTCTGCACCAATTGTTTAAAAGTCTTCAAGTAAAAACTAAGTTTGGTACACTGACATATTGATATGATATTGATATGTGACTGTTTATCTAAGTTAAAGATAACGTGGAAATGAATAGCTCAGTGTATTGGGTTTTAAGTAGATCAGCATACAAACCGGATCCCAAAAAAGTTTGGACACTAAACAAATTGTGAATAAAAACTGAATGCAATGATGTGGAGGTGCCAACATCTAATATTTTATTCAGAATAGAACACAAATCACAGACCAAAAGTTTGAACTGAGAGAATGTATCATTTTAAGGGAAAAATCTGTTGTTTCCAAATTTCATGGTGTCAACAAATCCCAAAAAGTTGGGACAAGTCCATTTTTACCACTGTGTGGCATCCCCCCTTCTTCTTACAACACTCAACAGACGTCTGGGGACAGAGGAGACCAGTTTCTCAAGTTTAGAAATAGGAATGCTCTCCCATCCATGTCTAATACAGGCCTCTAACTGTTCAATCGTCTTGGGCCTTCTTTGTCGCACCTTCCTCTTTATGATGCGCCAAATGTTCTCTATAGGTGAAAGATCTGGACTGCCTGGCCATTTCAGTACCCGGATCCTTCTCCTACGCAGCCATGATGTTGTGATTGCTGCAGAATGTGGTCTGGCATTATCGTGTTGAAAAATGCAGGGTCTTCCCTGAAAGAGTTGACGTGTAGATGGGAGCATATGATATTCTAGAACCTGAACATAGTTCTCTGCATTAATGGTGCCTTTCCAGACATGCAAGCTGCCCATGCCACAAGCGCTCATGCAACCCCATACCATCAGTGATGCAGGCTTCTGAACGGAGCGTTGATAACAACTTGGGCTATCCTTGTCCTCTCTGGTCCGGATGACATGGCGTCCCAGTGTTCCATAAAGAACTTCAAATCGTGACTCATCTGACCACAGAACAGTCTTCCATTTTACCACACTCCATTTTAAATGACCACTGGCCCAGTGCAAACGTCTGAGCTTGTGGAGCTTGCTTAGAAATGGCTTCCTCTTTGCACTGTAGAGTTTCAGCTGGCAACGGCGGATGGCACGGTGGATTGTGTTCACTGACAATGCTTTCTGGAAGTATTCCTGAGCCCATTCTTTTATTTCCTTGACAGTGGCATTCCTGTTTGAGGTGCAGTGACGTTTAAGGGCCCGGAGATCACGAGCATCCAGTAGAGTTTTACGGCCTTGACCCTTACGCACAGCGATTGTTCCAGATTCTCTGAATCTTTTGATGATGTTATGCACGGTTGATGATGATAACTTAAAAGTCTTTGCTATTTTACGCTGGGTAACACCATTCTGGTATTGCTGCATTATCTTTCTGCTCAACAATGGTGGAATTGGTGATCCTCTTACCATTTTGGCTTCTGAGAGACACTGACACTCTGAGAAGCTCTTTTTATACCCAATCATGTTGTCAATTGACCTAATTAGTGTTAATTGGTCTTCCAGCTGTTTGTTATATGCTCAATTTCCTTTTTCCAGCCACTTATTGCTATTTGTCACAACTTTTTTGGGATTTGTTGACACTGTGAAATTTTGAATCAACATATTTTTCCTTTAAAATGTTACATTTACTCAGATTAAACTTTTGATCTGTCATCTATGTTATATTACGAATAAAGTATTGACATTTGCCATCTCCACATCATTGCATTCAGTTGTGCATCCCTATTTTAAATGCATCTAGTATGGTAGGTTGAGAGAATGCAGACATAAAAATAATACTAAACACTGAATGATAGGGTTTAAAAAAATGTTTTCTCCAAATCTTGCAATCGACCAGAGATCAGTCCGTGATCAACGTAATCCCCCCCCCCCCCCCCCGGTCTACAGCAATGATAAAATAGTAGCATGATTAGCATGATTTGAGTGATTAGCATGATTCGAGTGATTAGCATGATTAGCCTGCTTGGTCAAGAAGTATTTTTGTTGTAATCCTTGTAAACTGACAGATGTGACAAAGTTTTTAGATGTGAGCTCAGAAATGAATAATAATTTAAATGTATCCCATTCTGAGTGTAATTTCTCCTTTTTTAATTCTTATTTTAGTGAACAATGTTTATATATAGGCATTCAAAATGTTTAATCTAACTATTTAATTCCCATCAAAATAAGGATTCTTGGAGTTTTTTTATTAGTTTAACTGAAATAGTTTAGCATCATTTGAGGATACAGATGCACTTTTTGCCTTAGACCAGTGCCATTACTTAGTTTGTTAGTGGTATAATTAGAGTTTGATAATCACCTGTCTGTGTGTGTTCGTTTGTCTGTCTGTTAGCAAAATATATCATTGACCACAGGACAAATTTTGATGAAACTCTTTGAAAGTAATTATTGGATGAAGTTCTGCAAATGCTTACTCTTTGGTAACTGAAAATCATCCCCATCACATAATCTGATCACTCCAGATGGTGGGTGATGTGAAGGCCTTTAAAAATGTTAGTTGCATCATAATATAAACTGGACTGTCCTCATATGAACTGTGATACCTTTGTTTGTTTGTTTTTTGACACTGAAATACTGTCAAAGATTTTAAAATAACCCACATTTCATGACCAGATGTACTGACATCGACTGTATTATTTATACTAAAACAGCAACTCCAAATGAGTTTTGTTATAAGACGGTCTGTTGATTCTTGTTGTCACTCGCTGTTGTTGGATACATAATAACCTTTCATTATTTACTTACTCAAATAAGCCACTCTGAGGACACGAGAAGATTTTTAACCAGTCTTTACTTACAATGGCAGATGGTCACGAAAACAGACTTTCACATATGTTCAAAGTTACATGCTTAGAGCCTCGTCAGTGAGAATCTGCACCGGACAGTGAGGCAGGAAGTGTTTTTATAATCCTTCTCAGCATGATGACCTCGCCTCTTAGACTCAGAGGCTTCAGGTGCCTGAATGTTATTCTCTGACACTGAAAACAAAGAACTCTGACCTCACATACACGTGGTTCAACATTTAACATTAGTGACAAACATCCATAAACCTTTATTAAAATTCACTTGACAGCTGTAAAATAAATAAATGAATATGAACATTCAATAAGAACATTATTTGAATGGCAGCCCAGAATTGAATACAGTACTGTAACTGATTTGGTTTCAGGTAGAAAAACTGTAAAGTATAAAATGATCCCATCTAAGAAGCTTGAGTTAGAGAATATTATTGTTATCGTGTATAATTTACTTTATTTCTGCCCTACATGTTCAAAGCAGCTCACTTGTACCTTGTTTGTTCTTTTGTCCCCCTGCAGGATATGTTTGATGTCATTTTAGATGAGAACCAGCTAGAAGATGCTTGTGAGCATTTGGCCGAGTACCTGGATGTCTACTGGCGCGCCACCCACCTGCCAGGAAACACTCCTCTTAACCCCTTACTGGAGCAGAGTCTGATGACCCCGCCCTCTGCCGTCTCCAGCCTGCAGGTACGTTTGATCATTTCCTGTCTAACAGCCAGGAGGGCACGGTCCCGTCGTATGGCTTTAAAGACTCTTCAGTCTCGTGATGGACGTGTTGTTGCTGTCTTTACGCTGTTCCCATCTCAGATTTGTCTCCACCTGTCTGTTCCCTTACTCATCCAAGCTTAACATTTTTGCAGTTTTCTGAAACACAGGAATTAATTGAATGATCCATAACAAAAACAGGGTGAGTAGTAGGGTTTATATAATAATCTATTTGCACTCTTCCCCCCCAACCTTCTACTTTTCCTGATACCCAAACAGAGCACAGTGACTGAGACAGTGAATGAAACACGTTTTATTCACTCAGATCTCACCACGTACAAGATTCTGTGCTTTTGTTTGTTCTTCCTTATTGCATCGTGCCTCTGTTTTCTTTTTATATATTTTTATCATTTTTACTTGATGGTTTCGGGCGGTTCTGGGGAAAAGAAATTCACAAAGCAGTGAAGCCCTGTCTTTCATTTACCTTAAACAGAATATGTGTGTTCTGTTGACCCTTTTTCAAGCATGCTTTGTGAATGCTGACCCCACTCACAGAACTTACACAGTTAAGATGAAGCCTAAAGATCAGTACTTGAACATTCTTCGCTTTAAATGCAAATTCAGCAGATTGAGACCAAAGCAGCAGTGCAATTACATCCTAGTACAGGGCTGTTCAACTAAACTGCTCAGGGGGCCACAGTGTCTGAAAGCCAACAGCTCGGGGGCCGGACATCCAGCAATTAAAGTCAGTATGTAAATAACCCAAGTTCTACAATGATCTGTTACCTTTTCAATTTGTTTATTTTATTGTATTGAATCATAAATGCAATAAACAAAAACCTTTTTTTATGAAGTGGTCTGGACTGAAGTCACCCATGGGCCAGAAATAGCCTGCGGAGCTGCCAGTTGAATAACCCTGTCCTAGTATGTTCAGGAGTTTCTGAGTATTCAGCATTCATTTGTTTTACCTGTTTTTATGCAGACTTTGATAAATCAGAGGACTTTAATGGAATAGATCAGATCTTTTTAAGAAGGTCCCTGTGGAAAGGCTAGGAACTATTACATTGTTTTAGATAGCAGGGATGTCCTGGGCCCAGTGTTGGATCAGGAGTGATTCAAGTGCTTCTGCAGATCATGAAGACCAGGGAAACAACTCAAACTTGCTGAGTCATGGCCCTTGAGGACCAGGATCGAGGACCACTGATCTATAGTTTTACTGTAGTTGTACCTTAACACATTTGCTAAAAAAAATTGTGATTAGGCCCGTCACGATAATAAATTTTGCTGAGCGATTAATTGTCTCAGAAATTACTGCGATAAACGATAATATTGTTTGAAATTTAACAATAATTAATTGTCAAATTTGAGAAGAAATGTTGATTTGTTTAGTTGTAGTACCTTGTTTGACCACCTGATGGCAGTATAAGACTGTTTGAACCAAAGGATGGATAGTTGAGCACCATGTCTGTTAAGAAAAATGGGAGGGAGGGCTCTTGACATGACATGGGCTGACATGGTGACATGGCGGACACTCTGTGGATTGAGCTCTTTAGCATAGCATTTTTCACACAAAGCATTTAATTAAAAAAATCAGTAAACAAGTTCTCGGCTTCTTTTTGCAGAGAAAAATAACTTTTTACACAAAGGCACGGGTTTCAACTGTAAATTTTGGAGCTTCGACAAGACAGAGGTTTTTTCTCGAGGTCGACCTGTTAGCTTAGCTTGTAGCTTAGCTTCTCAACTTAGCTGCTTTTAACGATCCAAAACCACGATTTTGGATCGTTAAAATTGATTTTCAAGTGAAAAGAGAAAGGGAGGAGTAAGTGAAGAGCACCAGAGTTGAGCCTTTTGTCATCCAGTGTCTTCAGTAGAAACAGAGAGACACGAAGAAACGATAAATCTGATAAATGAAAATGAGGTCGATAATTTTCATTTATCATGTGATTAACTGATTTATTGTTTATCGCGACAGCCCTAGTTGTGATGTGGTGTTTCTACATGTCTGCATTGAAGAAGTTTTTTTGTTTTTATAGAAAATAAGATCAGTCAAGTAGCATTCTTCAGAGTACCCAGCTAACGCTGCTAAGCAACACATTTTAGTGGAAACTCTAAGAAGATACAAGTTTTTACAGGACAACAATAAGGCAAAAAGGATTACAGAATGTGTGACTGGATTTACTGCTCAATGACCAACCCATCACTGCGGTGGGGGGAAAAGGTTTTCACCTTTTAGAGCTGTTGGAGCCACGGCATGTCCCACACTCCTAGCCTAACCAACAAGCTTCCTGATCAACATGAAGAACGAACACAGGTTTTCCTCACTGTACTGTAGAGCTACTGAGGTTTTGTGCATACGATGGTATTGATTTTAATAACTTTAATGTACTTGTGTTGGTAATTTGCAAGGCTGTGCTGCAGGGAAAAAAGTAGAGGTGCACCAATCCACATTTTCCTCATCCAATACCGATATAGAAAAACGGTGCTGAATTAACTTAAAACATTTGTTTTTTAAACACAGACATAAATGTACTGAATTACAAATTTGTTGAAAACTCTGCACCAGTACAGCACACTTAAACACACCAATAGCTTCACAAGCTTGGTCAAACATGTTAAAAATAACACAACTTTAATTTGTTCTGTCAGTGCAATTATGAGTATAACATCCGATGTAAAATAAATAATAAAGATACTGAAACTGACAAAAACAACAGGTTGACAACTTTGGTCAAACATGAAAATGAACTTCAACAAACCTTTCAAATGGTTCAAGAATTCTAAATATAATGTAAAATAAATAATAAATGAGCTGAAATAAGAGGAAAAAAACAATAGCTTTTCTAGCTTGGTGGCAAATATTTAAAATAAACTGCAATCAGCTCCTGTCCTTATGAATCGGTCACTTTGTCACTGATACCCGATCAAGAATTTGTATTTGATATCAGTACCCATACAATACTAATACCGGGCCGGTGCATCTCTACCGATACCCGGTCGAGAATTTTTTCCCCCTCAATATCGGTACCAATGACGATACTAATATCAGATCAGTGTATCTCTAAAAAATTTAAAACTATACAAGTATCAGACCGAGTCTCTGTATCTGTTCATCCTAAATGACTCCCATTGGTATCAGGGTTTAAAAAATCTTGATCGAGACATCTCTAGCATTTGCTCGAACCTCAACAAAAATATATGAGGTTGAAGCTGTTTTAAGACATTCCACTTTAGGCTTGCCCTGCTCACACTACCCATTATCTAATCAATCCAGTCAGAAGTAAGCTCCATTCTTCAAATTGGTCGGATTCGGAAAGCTACCTGCAACAGGTAAGATATTAACTGTTCATAACATCTCCATAGAACCCTACTTTTGACGTTCTGAACTATCCCTTTAAAGAGGATTGACCAACAGTGTGACACTACACTGTCGATGTCCGTCACCTGTTGCTGTAAGAACAATTTGTGCTCTTGCGTTCTCACAGTTTCTGTTCTCAATCTGAACCTGCTCTCGGATCCTTTAAGCCCTTATGTTCTGGTTCTGGTGTCACAAACAATGGAAACTAGGACCAGACGTGTCGTCGTCACCATGACAACTGCATGAAGCCACTCAAACGGCAACTTCACATTTTAATGCATTAACTACGTTTGATGCTGTTTTGTGTTTTGACACAGGGCAGCCAGTGAGACGGTAAAACCCGGTCAACATCTTTTGTGTATTCATGGTCAGAATGTACTTCATTAGACCCAAATAATAAATACAAAAACACACATAGAGAAATATTAAAACACTCTGAGAAAAGCAGCAAATGTTTATCCGTACTCACACAGTTGTATGTGTTGGGGATGACTCGCAGCTACATCTTCTTCTTTCAGCTGTTCCCTCTTCAGGGTCTCCACAGCAAGTCATCCTCCTCCATCTCACTCTGTCCTCACTCCATCTACCTCCATGTCCTCTCTAACTGCATCCAGATATCTCCTCTTTGTCTTTTTCCTGGCAGCTGCATTTCTAACATCCTTCTACCAGTATACCCACTGTCCCTCCTCTGAACATGTCCAAACCATCTCAGTCTGGTCTCTGTAACTTTATCTTCCAGTTGTTCAACCTGTGCTGTACCTCTGATGATCTCATTCCTAATCTTATCCATCCTTGTCACTCCTAAGGAGAAACTCAACATCTTCATTTCTGCTACTTCCACTTCTGTCTCCTGTCTTTTTGTCCATGTCTCTGTCTCCAGACCATACAACATAGCTGGTCTCACTGCTGTCTTGTAAACTTTTCCTTTGACCGTTGCTGCTACTTTTTTGTCACAAATCACTCCTGAGACTTTTCTCCATCCACTCCATCCTGCCTGGACTCTCTTCTTCACCTCTTTACCACACCCCATTTTCCTGGACAGTGGACCCCAAGTACTTGAAGTCCTGCACCTTTGTGACCTCTGCTCCTTGTAGCCTCACTGTTCCACCTCCTCCCTCTCATTCACACACATGTACTCTGTCTTACTACGGCTGACTTTTGTTCCTCTTCTTTCAAGTACATACTTCCACCTCTCCAAGTTCTCTTCCACCTGTTCCCTGTTCTCACCACAGATCACAATATCATCTGCAAACATCATCGTCCACGGGGATTCCTGCCTGACTTCATCTGTTAGTCGGTCCATCACCAAAACCAACTCTCAGCTTCTACCACATTAAATTTTACTTCACTAAAAAACAGGCTGAGAGGTAGACAGTTTTACATCGACTCGGTTCAATTAGTTGTAGTGGCCATCTTGAACTGGGTTTACCCTTACTTATACAGTTATGGATTTACATTTTAACGATTGCGTCCAGGGATGTTCATCACAAACTGTCTGCTGGATCATAAAATGTGTGGCTGTAGATGTGGGTCCAATAATTGAGTTTTATTCAAATTTGTCCACTGGTTCATGAGATATGTTGTTTACACACAGGACAGACTGCTTTCACCTTTTGGCAGCAGGCGATAATGAAAGTAAAGTTTAGCTACCGGTAATCTTAATCTCAGATTATGACAAAGTACTGATCTGTGTTGAAAGTCCCTTCAAGTTGCGTGTTTTCTCTTTCGTTTGAAGCACTTGTGTTCGTGTTCAGCTGAACAATCAGAGCTTGTTTCCTCCTTTGGGCCAACGGGCCGTCGAGAAAGCTCTGATTATTTTCCCACTACGTCCTGAAAGCAGCTTCTGTTTTGTTTCCTGTGTTTTAAGTGTTTGTCTTCATTTCAGTGGTTTAAGAGTTGGACGACAGGCGTGTTTATTTCTCCAGGTTTGTTTTAAGACGATTGCCCAGTTGAAGAGTTCTTAACTGCTGTAATTGTTCTTCTGGGTTGTAGTTTCACAGTTTCCACTGAACAATGAACTGATCTGGTAAAGCTTTTTTTTATTAAAATGTGATAGAAACAGAGAAATGTGATCATTTTCCAAAGTGATAAATTATTGATGCATTAATTAGCCACAACATTATGACCTTTTTTTTTTTGTCTTTTTCAGTTGTACATTTTTTACTTTTCACTTAGAAACAGAACAGCTTTAAATTAACTTTTTTAACGGATTTGTATCCACGTCGTTCAGATTATGAGTCCAGTGCAGAGAGGAGGAACAACTGCAGCAGAAAGTAACTTTTTCAACTCGCTGTAAGGCATGTGAGTGTTGCTTTAAAGGGTAATTCTGGTTTATTTTAACTCTTGTATTTCCCATTAATCAGATTATTATGGCTGTATGAGTTATACAATCTCTGCACTCTTCTTCAGTTTTGGGAGAAAATGAAATAAGAAACAAAAAACAGACTGAGTTTAGAAAAATATTTGTATTTTTTGCTTGAAATATTACCGTCTGTTTTCAGTTGTGCCTTAACAGCAACAGAGATCTTTGAGCTTTAATGGGACTCTGGTCTGATCTCAGATGAGTTGTTTCATAGGGTCTAAATGAAAGAGTGTAAAATTTACTTGACTTATATAGTCTAAATAATTACATTCATTAGTGGAAATGCAGGCTAAAACTAAGAATCAGATATTATCCTTTAAAATCGATTCAAACGCTTCTTTTCACATGCTGTTTGTATTTTTTGTCCCTTTTTGTGTTTTTTTTATTATCTTGGATTAGTTATCAACAAGTTGCTATAAAAGTTGCTTTAAAGATTTATCTAGTCTCTTCTTTTGTTTTTTGACCAATTAAATTCTCCAGAACCAGAACCAGGCGCAGCCTCGAGAGGCGGTGGGCTTGAAGGGTGACGAAGAGGAGGAGGCTGGTGAGGAGGCGCTCTCTCCCCTGGAGCAGGACAGTCTCATGCCATCCGACGAGGCCAGCGACTCCCTGTCCCGCGGCCGCAGGGGGAGCCCTTTACACATGGGGGTTGAGGAGGAAGAGGAGGAGGACGTGGAGGAGGAGGAAGAGGAGGATGAATATGCCTCCCCCTGCCACGGCCGCACATACAGGGACATGTACCCCCCTCGCCGTGGGCATCCAGGCAGCGCCCACAGTGCCAACGGGCACGAGTCTCAAGACAGGCTGCTCCAGCGCGAAGCTCAGCAGGGTCACAACCAGAGGATCAACCGGCAGCGCAGCCGCCCCTGGCCCCGAGACAACTACTGAAATAAGCCCCGCCCCCTTCTAGCCTCCAGGTCAACATCAAGTCCCGCCCCCCAAGGCCCCTGACAGTCACACGGTCCTAAACAAACTATTTAAAGGTGGCAAAACTCGTCCAAAATCAGCTCTAAACGTTCCTGTCAGTCAAACAGAAACTGGTAACCAGTGACCCAGTTATCGGTCGCTCGCCTCGCCGCGGGTCCAGACGCTCAAATTCAGTTCCACAGGGCTAACCCACCTCTGCAACAGAAAGGTTTCAGGCTACCAGCTCAACACAAAAGTCCAACGTTAGCTGCTCTGCCTAAAGATTCTCTATTGTAGGATGTCTCATTCCACTGGCCTTAAAATCCCTAAGACTTTGAATTATCGTTACTATTGCATGTGTCATTATTTTAGGACTATTTGCACATTACGGCAGAACAGGAAGTGAATGATCTTTACAGATAAACTAACATAGGAATGTTCTGTGTTAAAAACCATTTATGGGTTACTGTAATGCGTTTGATTCCAATGTATATATACTGAATGGGCACCTGGTTTTGTTCCATTGCTACTTTTCTTTTTAGTTTTGTCGATACGGACAAATGTTTGTACGGTTCATGTGTTCACTGACTGATGAGGGGCAGCCTCCAGTCTCAATGGTTGTGAGGCTGCCCTTAGAGTGCCATCTGCAGCGCAGTAGGTTCACTTGCTGTTGCACAATCTGACACATCTGAAAGCAAGCGGGCACACAGAATGTAAACACAGCCGAAGAAGGAAATGTTGGAAAGGACGGGTGTTTTTAGCCAAAAGGCTCGTTTACATTCACTCATTCACGTGTATCAAGCACACGCTGCTCGGCTGCAGCTTCCCTCCCAATCAAAGGCTTCACAGAATGTACGCTCGCATGCCTTTTGCACCTCCAGCACCCACCTGGTTTCTACCGATCACCCCCCCCCCCGTGGTTCGATTGTAGCACGTTACTGATTGTAGCATCCACGACTCCCGCACAGATCGCACCCTCTGTGTCAGACCGCGTCACGATGTTTTTGTGAGTGACAAAGACAGATCCTCAGGTGATGAGTCCCACGCACACTCGCTCCGCTCCACGCCACCTCGTTCTGCTCCCGCGCCGTTTCTAGTCCCCGAGCCGAGTTTCGACGTGACACAGGGTCAGAGTTTTACTCGTTTACTGCTTCCATGTGTCACATTATATATTTATCTATTCTGTATATTTAAAGAGAGAAAAAAAGCAGCATGATTAAAAAAATAAAGAAAAAGATCTATGCAAGTGTTGCATGAAACCTGGTTGTTTCTTTTTCTGATGAAGTATTTTAGTAATGCATCGGTTCTGACTCCTCGTCGTTCCGTAGTGATAGTCTTTGTCTTTGGGGCTACTCACTCTGCGCTACACTGACATTTTTCCACACCATCATTTGTTGAACTCACTTTTTAAGTTTCTCACTAATAATAGTCCCCCAAAAAATAGCTGCTTTAAAAAAAATTACAAGTGACAAAATGAGTAGGTTCTTAAAGCCCTGCATGTTTTAGTTCAACAATTAGCCTCTTTCATAATATTCTGGCAATTTTTCAAAGTGGACCAATTCAGCAACTGATGAAGCAGTTGAGCTTTTTATGAAGCACAATTTTTACAAGGTTATACGTTCATTTTCTCTGTCCTATTTTGTATGCAATATGGAGCCTAACATCTAAAAAAAAAAACTTAACGCCTTAGACCATCTGGACTTCCTCTTATGTGTGAGTAAAAAGAAAATTTAAAAAAATTGCACTATGTTGTTTTTTTGTTGTTGTTGTTTTTATTTGTTGTTTTTTTTTTTTTTGGATGGTTGCTTTGTAATGCAATAACTGCACTAAATATATCCATGTATCCACCGGACTACCACAACGTGCTAGCGTGACCCGACACGCCTCTTCCCTCAGAGAAAAGAGACGAAACGTGTCAGACGTGAGACATTTCCTGCCTGATGCTGTAAAGAATGCTTTCTATTTGAAAACAGATTTACAATGCTAAGTGAAATGAGACGAAATAAACACTACATTTTATGTACTTTTAATTGTTTGGGTTGTCTGTGTTTCTCCATGTGATCTTTATTTAAAAGGATAGTGTCTACAGGTGCTGGTCATAAAAATAGAATATCATGAAAAAATCGGTTTATTTCAGTAATTTCATTCGAAAAGTGAAACTTGTATATTATATTTATTCATTCCACACAGACTTGATATATTTCAAATGTTTATTTCTTTTAATGTTGATGATTATAACTGACAACTAATGAAAACCCCAAATTCAGTATCTCAGAAAATTTGAATATTGTGAAAAGGTTCAATATTGAAGACACCTGGTGCCACACTCTAATCAGCTAATTAACTCAAAACACCTGCAAAGGCCTTTAAATGGTCTCAGTCTAGTTCTGTAGGCTACACAATCATGGAGAAGACTGCTGACTTGACACTTGTCCAAAAGACAACCATTGACACATTGCACAAGGAGGGCAAGACATAAAAGATCATTGCTAAAGAGGCTGGCTGTTCACAGAGCTCTGTGTCCAAGCACATTAATAGAGGTGAAGGGAAGGAAACGATGTGGTAGAAAAAAAATGTACAAGCAATAGGGATAAGTACACCCTGGAGAGGATTGTGAAACAAAACCCATTCCAAAATGTGGGGGAGAATCACAACTGCAGCAGTGCTTCAAGAACCACCACACTCAGATGTATGCAAGACAAGGGGTTCAGCTGTCACATTCCTTGTGTCAAGCCACTCTTGAATAAGAGACGGTGTCATAAGTGTCTCACCTGGGACTGCTGCTGTGTGGTCCAAAGTTAAGTTGTAAATTTTGCATTTCCTTTTGAAATCAAGGTCCCAGAATCTGGAGGAAGAGAGGATAGGCACATAATCCATGTTGCTTGAGGTCCAGTGTCAAGTTTCCAGTCAGTGATGGTTTGGGGTGCCATGTCATCTGCTGGTGTTGGTCCACTGTGTTTTCTGAGGTCCAAGGTCAACACAGCCGTCTACCAGGAAGTTTTAGAGCACTTCCTGCTGTTTTGAGTTAACAGATAGTGTGGCACCAGATGTCTTCAATATTAAACCTTTTCACAATAGTCTAATTTTCATCTCCTAAGTGGTTTACTCCAGAAGCCATAACCTCAGTCTTGTCTTGAGTTTAAAAGCAAAAAATTAATGGTCATCCAGGTTTTCATGTCTTTTAAGACATGCTTGTAGTCTTAAGTAGCTCTCTCACACACACACACACACACACACACACACACACACACACACACACAC